TGCACTGCCATTCTTTGCTCCACAGACCGCATCGGAAAGTTCAACGGAGCAAACTCCGGGGCGCTTGGTTGAGTTTCCAGTGCCACCGCACCAGTTCTCTCTCTCGTTGACTCGTTGAGGTCGGGAAAGAGGTAAGCAGCCCGCGGAAGACGAAGCCATTTTCTGGACTCACAAAGTGTTCCACAGTTTCTCTCTCCGAAGAGGCAGAGTTTTTCAGAGAAGGGTTGGTTTCAGAGGTTTCAGAATGGTATGCCTCAGCCTCAGCCTTCGTCTTGGTTAAATAGCCGAGGCAGCCACGCGTATCGCGCGCCACTTGCCGCCAGACGACAAACGGGCACGCCAACCAAGGCACTCACGTGCCTCGCCATCATGTCCGGCACATTTTTTGATGAATTGGGCACGCCTTTTGATGGCACGCCTTTTGACAAATTTGGGCACACCTTTTGAGGGTGCAACTTCTACAAGGGTCCGACAAGACTCTGTAAACTGTCCCGACATTGATTCCGGTTAGTTTTTACAAGGGTGCCGACAAGACTCTGTAAACTGTCCCGACATTGATTCCGGTTAGCTCCTTTATGGGTCCGACAAGACTCTGTAAACTGTCCCGACATTGATTCCGGTTAGCTCCTTTATGGGTCCGACAAGACTCTGTAAACTGTCCCGACATTGATTCCGGTTAGTTTCTACAAGGGTCCAGCAAGACTCTGTAAACTGTCACAACAACTGTCACAACATTGTCAGCTACAACGGTCCGACATGACCCCATAAACTGTCTTCTACATCGGTCTGACACCACCATACAGTGTCCTCTACAACGTTATGACACCCCCATACAGTGTCCTCTACAACGTTATGACACCCCCATACAGTGTCTTCACCAATGGTCTGACACGACCATAACAGTGTCACCTATCTCCTTTTTATTTTTATGTATTTTCTTTTGTTTTGTAACTCTCTCCAAACTCAAGTTGGTTAGTTCCTATCCCCCTTGAGTTTGCGGGGGGCTGTTAAAACCTATCAACCTACTTCACCCACTTAAACCTACTCCACTAAGTCTAACCCACTACACCACTACCACCTCACCTACTCCACTAAACCTAACCCACTACACCACTACCACCTCCACTTCACCTACTCCTTACCTACTACACACTCACCCTCTTCTATATATAGAATCATGAATCATTGTAATATATATAACATTATATCAATCAATAATATACATCAATTATTACATCATCTCACATGACTGAACCTTACATTTTATTATCTTATAATGTGTTTCATATATCTAAGCACTTGGCACATTTACCAATAATCAATGGGTCAACCAAAATTAAGGTTCCGTTTGGATAGGTGAATTTCAAATGAAAGGATTTGAGGTTAAATTTAACAAAAGTAAATGAGAGTTGACTATTATAGGTAGATTGTGAAACTGGAAGGGTAGATAGAGTGTAGTTTTAAAAAAAAGGATAAAATTATTAAGATTTTTTTACAACAAGAATTCTTAGAACGAAGGATTGAAATAACTACTTTTACATGTTGTTTTAAATTCATTTTGGTAAAGCTTTTAGATTCAATATTGAAATCATATATATAAACTATCATCAATTCTAAAATGCATTATTCTCTTTGAATGATTAGTGCCAAATCCTTTTATTTCAAAATCATATAATAAACTATCATCAAATCTATAAAATTCGCATTATTCTCTTTAAATTCGTTTTGGTAAAGCTATTAAATTCAATAATTGAAATCATATATAAACTATCATCAAATCTAAAATTGCATTATTCTCTTTGAATGATTTAGTGCCAAATCCTTTATTTCAATCTATAAATCCAAATGCAACCTAAAGTTCTCCTTACTGAATTCTTTATTCTTTATTTTGTAGTTGGCCTATCACATATGGATTATTCTTAATTTGGGGTTTTTTATTTTTCCTCTTTTCTTTTTTTTTTTTTGTTTGTTTGTTTGAATTTTGCTAATTGTTATTTTTTTTAGGCATTATTTGATGTTTTCGGCAGTGACAAATTTGTTGGTGAAATTTATTGGTGTTTGGTTCTTCCGGAACTATGCTCGCATTAATCTTGGTTAGTCTCTAGCTGCTGTTATATCTTTTGATTCTCATTATAATTTAATTTCTATTTTTGAGTTGATTGGAAGCTTAAACATAGTGAAAGTTAGATGTTTTATCCAACTTGAAAATTACATAGTCAACAGTTCAAAGTACAGTCATAATGTTAACATCCAGGAAAAAAGTTATCTCTATATGGTGTTGAGATGACCCTGGTTGCTCAAGCCAGAATTCAATGGAGTTTTTTGTTTATATGTCTGCAAAATCTGTACTCAACTGCCAAGCCACCCTCTTTTGCAATGCCGGCCCTTCCTTTAGGCCATTTAGGTGTTAGCCTATGGCCCCCAATTTTCCCAAGCTCCGTAGTTTTACCCCTTTTTGATCTGGCCTCACAAAATAAAAATTAAAAAAAATTCTTCTTGTCTAGATGCCCTAACGAAATTGTTAAAAATTGGCATTGTCTATGCCTTGGCCAAAAAAATAAAAACCTTTTTTCTAAGGTCTATTTAAAAAACCTTCCTTTTCCAATTGCTCAACAAAATAAAAACTCCCTTGTTCCTAGATCC